AAGGTTGATGTTTCTCAGATGCAAGTCAAACTCTAAAGGTCAAGGAAAAATCAAAAGATTAAAATTGTTGATATCCAAAAGAAGGCCTTGTCACTTAGAATACACCCGTGAAATATAAAAGCCCTAGTGCTAATTTTTCAAAAGTTATGACCAAAGTTTAAGTTTTCAAAACTCAGGGTCAAACTCTTAGGTCAAAGTCAAAAATTATCTACCCATTGAAGGTTTAGTCAAATATTAATATATATGCACATTAACCTAGCCCTAACTCAGGGCTTGATATTCCTTACATGTAAAAGAACCCTGTCCCAATTGAACATTAACTCTTTTTCCCAAAAAAACTTTTTTTGCAAACAAACAGGCAGATGCACAGGACAAAAACTATATACACTGTAACCCCAAATCTTTGATTACAACATGTACAAATGCACAAAATGTGGAATTATTTAAAGTGCACATTTCCCCTTACATGAATACAGATCTGACTATAGCTAGATTAAGTCACAACAGTACTTTTTTTAACTTATTTTAAGGTTTTACTTACCATGACTGGACCTGTCTGTTCCTTTCCAAATTTGTTCATATGCTGGAAGAAGTCAGTCACCTTTGACAACTAAAATAGATCATAAAGAAATTAAAAGAGTCAAACGAAATTTGCTCTAGATTAAAAGAAAAACAAGATGTACGTGTTTGTGAAACACTGAGGCCCCTGTATGACAAACTCCAAGACCAAACGGTCAAAATTCTTGGTATCAAGCTTTCCTCAAAGAAACCTGTCTTTTTGATAAACAAAGGCTATTCACCAATAGCGGGAAAAATTTTATAGTAAACCTATTGGTTCTTCAAACCACATGACATGTACCACATGTCTGAATTTGGCCAAATAGGTAAAATAGCCATAGGCATTATATACCAATTGAAAGAGTAATGATCATTGAATAGCACAAGAGAATAGGGCAATACAAGAATGTGTATCCAATTGTGTTTCAATTCAAATCAACGGCGGATTTAGAGGGGACCAACAACCCCCCCCCCCCCGATTTGTGTCCAAAATATACCAAAGATTTAATAAATTAATTTTTTTGGTGTTACTGTGCCCCCCTAGCTCCTCCGACCTCCTCCAACCCCTCCCCCTCCTTTACAAGATTCCTAGATTCTTCACTGATATACCGGTAGAATATAATTTATTACCAAATCAGGGCATATTGGACATTTATAAACATATATACATTGTAACATATATAATAATTACAGATAAACATGATAAAGTAATAGACAGAATACAACATATGATGAAGAGCAATTCTTCCATTAAGTATATATACTGGTGGCATTTTTAAGTTTCATAATAATGAATGGGTTGTTGTGCAAATACGAGCATTATTATTATTAATGATACATATATATACATATCCATGTATCGAAACAATGATGATGATCAAGTGAAATAATTATAAAAACAAGCGCGTATATTGAAATTATTACATTTACAATATACACGTTTTTGAAAGTTATAAAAATGCACGTGGCTAATATATGGGGGGGGGCGCGCGTTAAAAATGTACATCAACATCAGCCACCATGGAGAAATTTTGGACTTTTTTTTTTTTATATATTTCTTTCAAAAAGTTCAATTGATTAATCTAAATAAAAAAAGAAGACAGGTAAAAAACGTTTTCCAAAGTGTCAACTACTTTCAGTACCAATTCTAATACTACAGTTATCGGTGCATCACTAAAAAAGTTGGAGGGCCAAATCAGTTATTTAACGGTTGAATGAATTTCTTTCCATTACCGGAAGTTGCTTTTAGCCAGTTAACAATATTTTCTTTTTGATATAATTTTTAACAATATTTTGGTTTCCAAGGTTTTGAAAAAATTGTGGGGCCGGGGGGGGATGTGATGTCTATATTTCCTCAAAATGACTGATAGCAAGAAGGGGGGATATGTTTTAAGAGTTATGTGTTACCTTTCTAAACAATGATGATGATTAAAAATTAATATATTTATAAAAAAAAATTTACAAGAAATATAATATTCCATTTAAATCATTAAATGTTATTTTTCAAAATATATACCAAAATTATCACTCCATTTAATGAAAATATCCGCCATATACAAATCCCATTTCTACCATGCATTATTTATCAATGTCTTAATCTGAGCGAAATTAATATTCTTTGGGCATTTTTAAAAATATACATCAGATATTGCGGTTGAATTTTCTCAACCTGGCGTAGTGTAGCAACTTTTACTAAACTGTCATTTATGCTAAAAAAAATGTATGAAACTTGACTTTTGATTTCCAGCATTAAAAAAATCAGTCATTTTGATATTATTATTTTTATATACTTCTTTAACATTTCAAAACTTCAATTGATTAATATACCAAAAATCGAAAATTTTGAATTCTGTTAAGACAGGTAAAAAGGTCTCTTCAGCTTTCCATTAGGATGTGATCTGCAAGTCACATCTTGTGTCTTTTTTTTGCCCCCCCCTTCTTGACAGTACGTGGGGGACATTAAATCTCATGCGTCTGTAAGTCTGACGGTCTATCCGTCTTGACACATAAACCTTGACCTTGGTCATATCTTTTGAATGGGAAGAAATAGGCTTTTCATATTATATATGTCTATTACTCGTGACAATGCCTTTCTAAATACGTTACATTTTTTTTATCCCCTTACATTGACCTTGACGTTTGACCTATTACCAGTGAAAGTTCTTTCTTACATATGAATTTTTACCTCATGACCTTGACCTTGAAATTTAACCTACTTTTCAAATATGTTCCCTATGACTTAATTGATTTAGAAGAGATAGGGCTTTCATATTTGACAAAGGCATTGACAAGATATTTCCGAGCATGCTATGATTTCTGACTTCTTGATCTGAACCTCCATGTTTGACCTAATTTTTTTCCAAAACAACCCCAAAAATTTTGGTGATAACTCTTGAATGACATACTAGTACATGTAATATGAAAGCTGTTCATCATATTTGACATAACATAAATAATGACATATTACCCACAAAGACACCGAAAGCGGGGGACCACAATTCTTTGAATTTGCTTCTTGAGACTGTGTTACAGCTTTCGGAAATTCGTAAAAACACACTTTTTTTTAATTTGAGTTTTGTTTTGACAAAAGTCCGATTAGATATCATAGTGCTTGGCCCACTGAACAGTTATACATAAATGTCAGAATTTTGAATGATATTCTAGATTCTATAGGTAGCCGATAGAGATTAAAGTGAGCATTCATGTCTGTATACATATTTAGTGTAATTTTCTTCCTGAAATCCATTGGAATAGCATAGCTCATTCATTATCCTATAAAACACACCAAACCTTGTCACTGATTGGTAGAATACACTGTGGGCACTACATGCATTTTCAATACTCTTGGAACACTAAAATGTGCATTGATTTGACTTAATTTAATTCAAATCAATGGCCCTTACAATTAAATTTTTTGTACGTCATCCCCATTCCCTTGCATTTAACACTCAACGTCACAGACGGCTCTTACATGTAGTCTTTTAAGGTACTCAGATCCTCAGCCAGGAAGGATAACTCAAAAATTTAAAATCAGATACAAAAAGTCCCAAAATGAAGTTTGAAAATTGAATCTTTATGCCTCTTAATGAGTGTCAGACCATGCCAACAATTAGAATACCGCGCGTTATCGCAGTATGATAACAAGTGGCACATGTTATAAGACTGTAGACATTCAAATATAAGAATCCAATGCTTATATTTACATTCTCTAATTTTCTCTCTTCAAAAATAATAATTGTAAATTTTATTATTCTTTCTACTGAATTTGGTGCCTTTCAGACCTGTTGTGCGTAAGGTTCTCAGATCCTCAGGTTCTGAAAATCAGGCATTGAATTATTGAAAATGCTCACAAAAGTGTCTTTGAACTCTCAAAGTAATGTGCTTTTACCTACAATAATTCTTCAAACTTCATTTTAAAAGTTAATCATATAACATAGGGAAATTTAGTAAATCTCAAATAGATTTTCATGCAGGAAATGCGAATAAAAACACCTACTATGCATTTTCCAGATCAGATGTGATGAAAAAACTCAATATAGAATTAAAAATCAAACAGGCTTTCGAAGAAATTGCATAATTTTAACACATATAATATACTTTACTTTCTTCTATTTACTTCGATCATTTTACAAAACATGGTATATATAAAAACATTTCCTATCATTGCATAACACCACAAATCACTTCTTATTTCATATAATGTTAATAAAGATGGATGCTTATGATCAGATTAAAAATACTCAATTTCTTTCAACATGTAATTTTGAAACATTTTTTATGGGACAAAAATTGAGACTTTTAATAAAACCTATCCTGGAAGTGTTAGCACAATCCGTAAGGCCTATTGCACTAAATTGGGAGGTAATACATCCTTACAACCCGTGCGCATGTCATTTGGCCCCAAAGAATTTATTAGCAAAGAATGTATACAAATATATTTTCCAAATTCAAAAAATCATCGCTTCAGAGTTGAAACCCCATATGATACTTAATCGAAACCCCACATGTGCCCCTTTACATGGTGAACAAGCAACTATACTAAATGGCAAAGGAAATGACTTCAAAATTTCAATCGTCAGTATTCCTGGCTTATGTAGCTATATATTCCACTATTACCTGTATGGTATGTACGTCACCCAACTTGTTCAATACTCAAGAGCATACTACATGAGTACGATCAATTTTTAAACCGGGGATGGCTACTGACAAATACATTGACGTTACACAGATATCAACCGCCTTGTTGAAAGCTAGCAGTTTATAATATCGTTAATTAAGACAATTTTTTGTTTTGTATGTAAACTAATAAGTGTTCTAATGTAATGCATATGTAATGCAAATGTAAGTTAAGAAGATAATGTGTATTAGGGTTCTTTTAATTTCATTTTTAATCATAAAAACGCTTTTTATTTTTTATGTAGAGCATCACGTGACTAAGGGAGCTGGATGTATTGGTCAATTGGTTGTACCCTGTGTTCAGATGTAGGACTGGAATATTTTACGCTGCTTGGTCACTGTTGCTCAATGTTGCTTTCTCAGCTTTTTCCTGTTCAACAACATCTTTTACCATCTGAATATTAGCGTAGTTTACTTGAGGTGACGGTTGTACAGTGTCAAAAACATCAACATCTTGGTCACTAGAGTCCAAATCAACAAGATCTCCAGTTTCTATCGTATTGTTATCAGTATTAGGTTCTTCAATTTTGCGTTTGATTCTTCCACCATCGATATTGCTTATGGCGATATCCTCATGAACTTTTGTTGCGTTCGGATGTGGGTATGGCTGAAGAATGTGTCCCCTTTTCAACCTCTCGGCTTGTTCTCGTTTGATGAGAGAGTTGACCAGCAAAACACCATCAACATTCCAGTTATACTCGAATTTCTTATGTTTTGAAGCATCTTGTACCTCTGGTTCCTCTGTTCTTTGTAAATTGTCTTGTTTGGGGGAAGGATGAAGATGCCAAGCGTTCAATTCCATTCGTAGACGAATTAGGTCAGCCTCGCTTTGAGCTCCGAGAAGGTTTGCCAATTCTCCAGGTTTGTAACTTTGAATAGGAAAATTATGGACGTTCCAACTAGGTGGCATAATGGCGTGGAGCGGTCCCCGTGGTAGCTGTGCCATTGAAGACGATATCTCTTCAGACTCAATGATATCACGTGGTTTTTCAACCTCTGGCGTTTCTGAACTGACCTCTGATTTGTCTGCAGAGGGGAGTTTTTCAATCGAGCTTTGAAAAAAAAATACGAAATTTAAGCTTACTTTATTTGAAAAAATTGGGAACAAAGGTTAAGGAGGAACTTCTTTTATGTAAATATGTAAAATTAAAATTACGGTGGGTTAATTACTAGAACTTTGGGTATCAAGAAACTATCAAGAGTATACTGGTACAACTCCGTTATGAGATTATAAGGACAAAAATATTTTCTACAGGAAGTTTCTACTCACGTCGACTCAAGGCGCCGTGCCTGACATTTTCTCCATGGACGCCGTTTGTAACAGGCATAAGATATCATGAAAACAAACAACAGGAAGAGAGTGGAGCAAATGATGGTGGTTGCGATTCCCTCTGGTTTATCTATAAAACTTCTGGGATCAACTGTTAATTTAATTAGACATCACATGGCAGTTGATCAGATAAGTTAAAAACAAAAGGTCAATGGGCCACAACGCTCACCTGAGTAACTTTGGCCCTGCTGCTCTTCCGCAGATTAACCTTCCCCCTGTATTACATATTGTGGCCCCATCTTACCACCCAGCCGCCACATCCTTTTTCCGGGGCTCATGATTTTAACAATTTAGAATCTACACTACCCAGGATGTTTTCACACGGTTTTTCTGGCCCACCGGTTCTTGGAAAGATTTTTCCAATATATATTTCAATGTAAAACTTATTGTGGACCTGCCCTAGGCCTGCCCTCGGGGGTCATGATTTGAATAATTTTGAATCTACACTATACACTATACCACAGGATGTCTCCATGCACCTAATTTTCAACTTTACTGGATCACTGGTTCTCGGGAAAAAGATTTTTAATGACCCTATTGTATTTCAATTTTTTCTTGATTATCCACCCTTGTAAGTAGGATGGACCCTTCATTTTAACAATTCTAACTCCCCCTTAACCAAGAATGCTGTTTGTCAACTTTGCATGGTTAAAGTTGACACTTGGTTCTTGAGTTGAAAAATGTGAAAAGTTTACAAGTGCACGGACGGACGACGGACAACGAGTGATCAGAAAAGCTCACAAGAGCTTTTAATTCAGCTGAGCTAAAAATTTCGAAAAGTGAAGAATCATTCATTAAAACTTGAATAATCAATACTTTTAAACAAGGCTTAGGGGTTTTCTTAAGCTTGCTAGGAGACCCCATGCGTAATTACATGTAGTTAAAATATCAGCATCTTGACTGTATTTCACTTGAAAGAATGGTCTTGGGGGGTGTTAAAATTATGCTCTGAACAAACTTTTTCTAATCTGATACCACTTATATACTTATATACAATATCGTTTTATAGATTCATAAAGGTATACACATTAGATATACTATAGTAATCACATTAGCATTTCCTTTGCCCCCCCCCCCCTTTACACGTGATCTCACCGTCTACGCATGTCAGCGGTCCTATGGTTAAGTACCCGTCAGATGCTGTCTGTGACATTCTAATCACCACCCTTGTTACCGGCAGGACACTGCTGTCTGTTAGATAGCCACTATCTTCCCTCAACTCTGTATCTTCTATTTCACAGTTGCATTTCATGGAGGGATCTGCGCAAGTACCAGTCAGTCCGCATGCGCAATGCTTGCGTTGCATATCAGCATCTCCCCAATAGTATTGCATTACTGAGTCACGTGATTCCCACTTTGAAAAAGCTCCTACAAAAGTAAACGTCTGTCTTAAGAATAAGATAGGCTACACAAGAGATTTTTCGGGTTTTGTTTGATAGAAGATTTATGTGTGATATGATATCTTTTCGAATAATATAATTTACATACTCTGTAAAATTAGTTTGGACTGATTACACTCATATTTAATGTACTGCAGGCAACTTGACGTCATGGTTAAAGCATCCTCAATATTATCCATCGTGACAGAATACTGCGGCTGCACGTCGGCATACCCTGATATTCAAACCAAAGAAGAAAAAAATAACGTTGTTCGCATTTTTTTCTTTTGATAAAATTCATTTACTCAAGTGCATGGTTTGGGACTGCCAAATAAGTTCGACATATCAATGGTAGATACCAAAGTTTAACTGTATTTATGCAATGATTCATGTATTCATTCAGGAGTGTTTTTCAATTAAAGTCAATTTGCCAAGGAGTATTTGAAGTGAAATGCATTTTATGCTATAAAATTCAGATATTCCAAACTTGGCAATAATGTTTAATAACATTCATTATCTTGGAACCAAGAATATTTGCAGCTCTCTCTATTGTATACATTCAAATTGAGAAATTTATTTTCTTTTTTACACCTGTTGGTTTAGTTTTTTATGTATTTGTTTTTCTCAGCCTTACAACTGTTGATAGCATATCCCACGTGCAGTCTTGCAGTGACGTCATGTTTGAACACCATCTGTGCAGGAATAGACGTCATATCACAGTACACAGAAAACACGTTCCCGTCATTCTTGGGATCCACGTCGAAGGTGGCGCTTTTTGCGTGTCCACGTACTCTCCATTCTTCACAGTTTCGCCAAGTTGCCGCTACAATTGCTAAAAATAGATGCATATATTCGAAAGTTAAAACTTGAAAACCAAGAAACAACTTGCGATTTCAACAAAGTTTATCAAAAGATTTAGATTGCATTTCTCCGAAAATATATATAATATCTTTAGTTTCCTAGCAGATATATAATTGAACATGGCAGCTGGCTCGATTTGTTACCTGGATAAATAATTTCAGGGCTTTAACAGATTAACAACTACTGGTTTTATTACCAAAGACGATTTTCAGGAGGAAATATTGAATCGTATGGCCTAATTTATTATCGATTAATGAATTTTATTTAGAAAAAATGCGAATGACATCACCGAAATTCCCTCAAGATTAATCTAAGATTTAAAAGAATACATATTACTCTACATGTATATTTAGAAAACAAGCAAGTATTTACATACAGGAAATAAGTACATGCCTAAATAGTACTCACTTTGTGTAATCCACAGCAATACATATATAAAGTCTATCATTTTCACTCAGAACTTATGGCATCAGTAAAAGTGCCTAAAAATGTCCCACGCACGGCAACGAATAAAAATTCGCAACCCTTGAGAAAAGTTCACTAAAAAAGCCAAGAGTATGCTAAAAGGGACTTTATTTGAAAACTTTTGTAGCAGCAAGCCATTTGAAATGCATTGTACAGTCTATAATACATGTAGCCATTCATTACTTTTCTAACATTGAAAAGGTATTAACGGCTACCCATGGACATTTTATAAGGTTGTTTAACCATGAGAAAAAGCGGAAGTCATATATTTGCTTGAAATGAACTTTTAGTGAATACAATAACAGGACTGGAAGTATAGCAGAGTAAATAAATAAAGCAATTGCTGAAGTCGTTTGTATTGTTCACTTTATATAAGTTCGCTAGTTCTTAGAAAGAACCCATGAACCCATATACATGCATGTATAGTATAAAACTCCTTGATTGGACATGGCTTCAAATGCATGTATATCATGTTTGTTTCTTTCTTTTTAATTTTTTTTAAAGATCTCATCCATTTACTTTAGTAACTTAAACGATTAAACAAACTATCACAGATTTTTTTTAAACAAAATACTTGTATGATACTAGTATACATGTTCATCTTCCTTATTAGGTTCCTTGTATTTTTTGTCAAATTTAAATAAAACATTCCGCCTACGTGAAGATACCAATGTAAAGTGTTAATTTAAATGAAAAGTGATTTTAAAAAACCCCACTGATTGCTGGCATCTATAAAACACAGTAAGGACGTCCTCCTTTTTCCTTTCCTTATGATGAGGAAATAATAAAGACGAAAAAGATCGTTTGTGTTATATCTGAAAAACATGGCGATCTCCTGCGGTAAGTTTATTTTATTCGGCCTTACACGGACATTTAGTATTTTGTTTTTGTTTAAAGATAAAGGAATGTTTTAATATCATTAAAAAGGTTGCTAGGGTAAATACCGGACATTGATAACTGATAAAAAGGACACTGAGATACTCCGAGAAAGTATTCTGCACTCAAAAAAAGTTGTGAAACAAATCGTTTATTAAGTTTTTTTTTGTATTTGGATTGACGAAAACATTGTAAGCTTCACAATCGCTAAATGATATTAAGGACCAAGCAGTACTAATATAGAACTAACATTGCATCTCTTCGGAAATGCTGAGTAAAACAAGTTTCACTACACACATGTAATTTACTGAACAAAATGAAAATACATGCATTGGTCCATGGAGCATAGTAATAACTTACATGTATAATTATACTTTTATGTAATCTTATCAGATATCAATAAACTCTCTACTTTATAGTTTCTTTTGTGCCGTACGAAACAAACCACAAAAGTAAAACAGAAGAGAAGGGGGGATCAGACCTGAAGGAAGCAATTTCAGTTGGGGGGAACCTAAAATTTCTTGACAAGCAAACAAAAGGTCATCAGACGTTATTACTGAGGGGGCCACTGACATATAGTAGCTATGTTTTCTATAGTATTATGTATATCGGCAAAATTAGGGGGGGGGGTGACCCCATCCCCCCGGTTCCTATGGCCCTGTAAATCAAACAGACATGCATATAACTCGATGCTTAAAAAATGCTCACAATCAATGTCAAGTCTTAATAATCTAATGAAGCTCTGTTAACATTAATTTACAATCAGCAAGTCGTATTCCCATCATGGTGTCGAATGTAACCATTATTTGTATCTAGTATTAGACCCTCTTATTTATTTTTCTATATAAAGGGTTTTCTTCTAAATTGAAAAGATGTAACTTTGACCCCTCCTCCCACCACCACCACTACCACCACCACCAACCAACCAAAAAAGTTTAATATAAAATAAGTCAAACTGCCCTTGTGGTATATAACTGAATGAGGAATGGTCCCAAGCATCTGAGATATCTAGTAATCTGTGTGTTAACATTTGATTTAATAGTTCGTATTGCTAATTTACTATCTACTTCAGATTTGTGTTATCACTAAATATTATACTGTTTGTAGCGACTAGTATGATCGCCACATTTGCCGCTGGTGTCGTATTTGGTTGCTTTCTGTTCTTGGCAACGACCGTCCTTCTTTGCAAATTCAAGCAAGTATTCTTCTATTTTAGGATTCAAATTCTTGATGCAAACAAAGTTATTAATTCAAAGATTATTAGATTTGTATGTTAAATTGTTTTTATATACTATAATATTTTTAAAAAATAATTTCTATAGAGCAAACTGGATTAAGAAGATTTTAAAACAACTACCTGTCGGGTTTAAGGATGACGGCGAAGCAAAATATGAAAAGGTAAAATGAGAAATTCATTGGTTCTATATATATAGATAGTTAACATGCATAGAAAATGTCAAAGCTTGTGATTTTGGATCACCAAACCTTGTCATTGTAAATGTGAGGATGATAAATTTTGATCGCACTAGAGAGTCCTTCCTGTTGAAGACTTTGAGGCAAAGTAGCTCTTTATCTTCGTTTTTTCCCACCTGCTTTTCTTAACTAGACAAAATCTAGCTTGAATAGTTACACGTTTCAAATTCATTAATAAGTTAAAGTTTGTATGTAAAATACTCTAAGGGCTTGAAGTAATTCGATTAATAAAACTTCAACCTGTAAGGGGCCAAAACCACTGGCACTTGTTTCATATATGGGGTACCCCCCTACTGCCCCATATACGAAACAAGTGCCTGTGATCAAAACAGGTTTTACCGCTGTTGTCTCTTTTTTCAGAGAAAAACGTACACGCTTCGAAGCCCCGAACCCATTCCTTCCGACTCTCCTGTCCTCATGAGGAGAAAGCAGACGACAGATTCAACATCAACAGAGAACACCCATGTTACCCTGCAATCCATGTATTCGACTCCACGCGACGTGAGGAAACTCATGGATGCTGAAGAACAAAGTCACCTGAAGCTTCAGTCCTTGTATTCAGCACCACGTGATCTTATTCCAGCTAATGCTCGAAGTAGTTGTCTTGAGCAACTTGGGCTAGAAGATTACATGCTTAAGCCCGAAGAAACCAATTTTTCTCCTACAAGCCAAACTGCGACCGATCCATGTTCAAAAAATACAGACGAAGAAGAATACCCATACAGTTTTGTTCGAAGTTTCGCTGGAAGAAACCTCAGTCAGTTTTCAGATTCACCAGCTGAAAACGAAAATAAATCACGGTCAGAATCGAGACTTGATTCCAATAATATTTTCAATCCTGTCGATGAACAAAGCTTGTCGGCAAACAGAAGATACAGACGATCGACGTGTCCAGACCTCGGAGAAATCGGACCTTATCAAGTAGACTCCCGTGCACACAATGCGATTCTATCAAGAGTTTGTATTCTATTTATTCTATGTATTTTGATTTTTGAATGCTGATTTGGAAAATGCTAGTATCATCACATAATCTGCATAATTTGATGAGGTAGAAATTTAAAGATTTTTACATACATGTACATATAATTATACTGGTTGACTTTTTGGTTCTAACATCTGGGATTTCTATTCCAGAATTCTCAAACAGGACCGATACATCTCTCAAAAGAAAGAGCTAATTCTCAACATTCAGAGGAACCATTTTATCATACTTTGGAAATCGTACATCCATACCCTAATCCCGCCCTAGAGACAATCCTGAGCACTAACAGGACATCCGGTTACTCCCAGAATTCCTCGCGTTCTAGTTCCGGTAACAGTGACACGTTTTCTAAAAGGTATTCGAGAAGTCTTTCCGAGAATATATTGAATGAATGTCCATTTTTGAGTGTGAACTTTGAAAACGTTTTTCAAGAGTCAAGAAGACCTAAAACAACGACCTTATGAATACAGTGTACATAATACTAGTATTTCTTATTTCCTTGTATGAATTGGGACGTTATTTCCAAAGCAGAACAGGGGTTATTTGGACCTCTTAATATATTTGCACTTTAAAATCTTTTGTTGAGTGATATAAAAGAAAGTTTTAGAACTTACTTGAATAAAATGAACAGCACATATAAATGTAAGGTTTGCTAGATGTTTATTTGCGATCTCTGCCCTAATATATGTACAAAACGATAGTAAATAAACTTGAACAAACATATAAAAGGCACAAAGCATTGCATGAATTGACAATTGGTGACACAAATTCAGATAGTAAATGTACTGCAAAAACAAAATTATTAATAAAGAAATCTGTTCTTTCTTTCATGTACTCTTATATTTTTAGCAGACATAATATTCAAATTAAACTATTTCAGGAATTCCAGATCTAAAAATCATATGCATTTATTGAAAAAAAATTGGACATGTTACATACATGTGCAAATATTTCCTACTGTCCCAAATAACATCAACTGCCTCCCCCCCATTTTTTTCATGATTTCACTATTCTATCAACAGATTAAATATCTAAGAACGATTTTGAATAGAATGTACTTTTGTAGTTGCAGTTTGTGCCACCAAATGCTTTTAAAAAATGGAACACAGATTTAAAATGGCTGCCAATTTCTCAAACTGAATATCACATATCAACAAGATAATTGTAGTATTGCTCCTTGAAAATTTTTAAAAAAGTATAACAAATCCTAAATCCTACCAAGATTAAAATGTGAACAAATAAAAATTATCTGTCTTCATGTAAGGACATTATAAAAAATTTCAGCAACCAAATACAAGTACAGATGTAAAGAACCATGATATTCTAAACCAATATCATATATCAACTTAATAAATAGAAACTGGAAGGCCTCTGTTAACAAGATGTCAGTTTACAATAAGGTGCCAGCCATTTACGACAAGGAACTAATCATACCTACATTATAAACATTAGTCCTATAGGAAAACTGAGTAAGTTACTTAAGAGAATAAATAAAAGTATCACTGGTCAATATATTACATGACCACACCCAATCACAACCTTTGACCTCGGATTGACAGCTGAATATAAATACTGGGTAGAATCACTTATTTATCTGCAGACTCCACACACAGACAGACATACAGGTACATATTTATATATAAACTACACAGACTGATCAACATTGACAATAATTATAACACAACATGGAATATAACAATACAGCACTAGACTGGTTCTCAACAGTGGAAAAACTAAACTGGTACCAGGCCCTTATAAAGTGCACACAAAAAATCACTTTCTGAACACAGAATTTAAATGATTTCACATGAAATATCATAATTAATGATTGTCAAGAGCTTTAAACAGATTTACACTGAGGCAGTTAACAAGTTTGTCAAGCTTGGTACCAGATTTGTTGCACAAACAAATAAATAACATAGACTGGTCACTATGTACAGTGTTAGGATATTACACATTGCTTCTGTTTCACTCTGTGTCGACCCGTCATCCTCTGTCGCATTGCACTATTAGCTCCCAGTGAGATACTCATATCGTCAACATACGATATTCTGGTGCCCAGGCCTCTTTCGTCATAGTAATAATCGTCCGAATCACTAGAACTAGAGCAAGTGCTACAATAATCATCATCGTCACGATAATTGTTTGAATCAGACCAGTGACCTTGACCTGGGTCACGCCTGGATATTCTATCACCTCTACGCCTGCCATGACGACGACTGTGTGCCCTCTCTGAAGGCCGACCTTCAAAACTTTGGCTTCTGGGATAGTCCGACACTTGAAGAGGAACTCTTCCCGAGGGTGGTCTATTTATGGGATTCATTCTCACATTGTCTGGTAATGGAGGTAAACCATTGTTTACATTTTGGGGTGAAGTATTTAATCGTCCATTTTGTTGTGGTGCTGGTACATTTTGCGGTGAAGTATTCACACAGTTATATCGTAACTCTGGAAACGATCTCGCAGACTCTGGATTTCCATTTCCTAACACGCGATCCACAGGTCTAATAGAACGATATTCCTGTGATTGCTGTGATTTATTCGTACGCTTCATACTTCTATTTGGCACATCATACATGCATGGTAACTCCTCATATTCGTGATATCGAGAATTTAAATTTTTCTCTGATCCCGACCGACTCCTGCTTTGAGAGTTCATTTTTCCACTTTCCTCTATGGGACTAGACTGAGGATCCTTTGAAAGATCTGGCATGGAGAACTGGGAGAGCCTCTTTTTGAGTTTGGCTTCATGTGGAATAGGAAGAGCGTCAACAAGACTATCCACGTTCAGTTCGTAATTCGCACTACACTGACCTTGAGAATTTTGAGATCGCGAAGTGTCGTACATGCCTGGTGCATACACCTCGCTATTGCTACTCGTAGCGTAACCTTGGTCACGCTCTGATGATGGCAGACTGTCCGATAGTGAATACTGTTGTCGTAATGCTTCCTGCATTCCCATGGTTCCTTGTTCCTGTAATGCGTGACTTACGGGAGAACCTAATCTCATACTATTTATATCATGAACGTAATCTTCTGGTCTCCTAGGTGTTTGTGTTTGCATGGAAGCCGCTCGACTGCAGGCGGCAGAACAATAAATCACACCGTGCTTGGGTAGAAATGGTTGTCCAAGCAAAGACTTTTGACAAGTATGACACTTAAAGCAACGTTCAGTAGCATGCCAGTGTTGACCTTCGTGGGTCATTTGTCCTTGATCCACTCCTATATGTTCACCACAAGTGTCACAGTATTCTGCGTACATCCGCTCAAAACACACACAGCAGTATGGCCGACCCTCCTTCATGATGTATCTCTGACCGCCTAATTGTCTATCACACTCAAAACAACAGAAATGTTTCATATGCCAGCTTCTACCCTCTGCCTCTGTGCACTCGTCAGCAAAAATTATCTATTAAAAAAAAAAAGAATATGTGTTCAGAAAAAAAACCCCTCATTAATAGAAATATTTAAGAAATGAATTTATAAAGTTTATTTAAATGTCAAATTCAAGAATTCCCATTGAGAGGGCAAAAAGTAATTTAAATCAAACAAATTTAATTCACCAGAGTAAAATATGTGACACAAATTATGACTTATTTACACTTTCTCAATACCCTTTAAATTCCTTATTATTAATACCTCATATAAATCAATCAAAAATGTTCAATACATATAATTTTTTAAAGTAAATAATTGCTTACATATGAGGTTAATATGGTACGTAACAAGGTTTAATTAATTACATTCTACATGTCAACCTAACTTTAAAAAGTAATTGACAATAACTGCTGCTCCCCCACCCCCTCTCAGTGCACTGACTACCCCCTCACCTCATCACAGGCTCCACAGCGTGGCTTTATCAGCTCAGCATGATGTCGTCCACAGTACAGAAACTCGTCCTTGAAGAAGTAAATCAGGTCCACCAGAAGCTCGTCACAGGTCATACAGGTGAAACATGAGGGGTGCCAGATTTTGTCATGCCCCGCTCTGGTGGCAAAAACAGCCATGGACCCACCAGAAATCATTTGCTGACACTGTCAATAAAAAGACATAATTATTTAAGAGGCAATTTACAGTATGTAATAACATTTTAAGGGGGGAAATGCTACTTTGTTGTTAGCAAATTCTCCAAGAGTTATTCCTCTTGTCACTGCTATAAGCACCTTAGTGTCTTCTCACCTTGGAGCAAATGACCCCCTGCATGGTAAGGGGTAAGGGTCTGACACTGCCCCTTCCCAGGGCCTCCCGTTTCCTCTGCACACTAAACATCCGTAGCTCCCTCTTTTCTTCTTCTGTGAGGGTGTTACAGTACCGGACCTCATTGTCATGGGGAGGTAACTGCTGCAGTAGCTGACGGACTCGGTACTTCTCACCCACACTGTTCAGAAATGGCACCTTGTCTTCTGGCAGGGAGGAAAAATACTGGTGAACCTACGGACAAGAAATTTGAAATTAATTAAATATGCAGATACATGTATTTTTTTTGTTAAGTTAATAAATTGCACCTGCTTACAAGGAAAAATGTTGGTGAAACTATAGACAAAAAATTAAAGATCATTATACAAATGCACTTTTTTTTTTTAAATACCTGTTTATAATAGATTTATGATTCTTAAAGTCTCAACTGTATTCAGGGACAATAAAATCTGGGAGTAATAGGGTGTAAATAAACATAAGTATCCCTCTCCCCTGGAAGACACAAAAAGGGATACCAGTAATTTTCCCCCAAATCAGACTGTAATCTATATATTTCTTGACTATATATTGATCAATCACTACATTTGTACAACAAAAATCCATCATCTCGAACCATAAAATAATTTTTTTTCTGCATCAACAATCATATCTGCCAAATGTTCAAAAAAGCACAGCTGTGTGTAATTTTTTTTATTTAAATAAAACATTCAAGGAGGGTATCTGATGACTCACCCCTCCCACACCAAACTTTTTCCTTCATATTTGCCCGATATCATATTACCTTAGTTTGACCAAAGAGAAAAAGATTGGTTTTCAATGTACAATTAACTTTACAGATTTCAAAAATCTTGCTAGTGACAGATTTCCTTTATGAACTGCATTCCTTTTATAACAGTTTACATCTGTTGCCAAATAATGTGTCAACACCATGTAATTTTAATATTCAATGGTAGCAAAATATATAACTCCAATAAGGACAATTCCCTGCAATAATTACAAGCCATTCAAGAAATTCTTTTTATGAATTTTTAATATTCTGCACACGATTTCCCTCCACCCAACAAAAAAGACGACAATGTAGCCTTTTATTCTTTTGACATAACCTATCTAGGTGAAATAATTAATGTCAGTGATTTAGGAGGAAAATTGATAATTAGATAGCTGTCACATCATGTAAGGTCCATAAAATGGGTCTGTCCATCCAAGCAACAGGAACAAAGTGAAGATTAAAGGTGTGTAAAAATAGGTGTCCCTCTAAGGAATATTCAAAAAGAAATATCAATATGTATCTTGTAGAGAGGAGAAAGATTGTAGAAGGGAATTTAGGGTCATCATTTGTGGGTGGAATCTATGTAGCAATTTTTATGAACCTTGTAGAATTTCCTTTCCTTAAAGATAAGGAAAAGGTTAAACAAATTCACAACCTCACAAATAACAGGGCACAATGATTCATTGAAACTTACTTTTTTTACAGTCTTGCTATCTGCCATGCCAGGAGTTAATAAAACTTATCTAAGTAAGTCAGGGCTAATTTCCCTAAAAGATGCTACCATATTTAAATATACACATGCACACACTTCTTAGAGATGGGCACTTGAAAACAAATGCTACCATATTTAAATATACATATGCACACACTTCTTAGAGATGGGCACTTGAAAACAAATTTCCACCAAAAAAAGGGAAAAAAATAAAGCCTGATGATTGATTGATTGAAAGAAAGAATCAGCAACTTTGATGCCAAAATTTCTGGCAATTTACACCCTCTAGTCAATGTTGCTGTGGAGCTTTAATCAAAGAGTAATTAGTGAATGCCAGCAAGAGCACACAAGATGCTCACTTCTAATACACAAAACAAATGTTTCTTGCTCTTCAACAGTTAAAGGTTTACATCTCTGTGTAGTTTCCTTCCACAAAAAATTATGAGATGCCGTAATGTTTGCTCGAAATTGTCAGCCCGCAGTTGTAATTTACATTCCACAGATGACAGTCATTGTGTGAAAATCATGTCTTTATCAGTTAGTTCGAACTCTTGTTTAAAGAACTTCAACATATGTTTTAAAAGAAGTGAAAAAAAAAAGAACTGAAGTTATGTAATTTTTCACTGCATTTATCCAAACTTTCAATTCTATGTAACACAGTTACTCAGGCAAGATTTAATTCACTTATATGCTCAATAAAATATAATGATATCCTTCAAGTCTATCTGATAATCTAGTAATTAGTAAAGGCAAGAAGATGCACTTTCTTAATTTATGATGCCTAATATCTCAGTTTTTGTCACGATTAATTATCAAATAGAGATGTACAATACTGATATATATGTATATAATTATAATGATAAACAGATGAAGTGCCTATAAAATAATCTGATTCATGGCTGTCCAATCTTTTAAGTTCATGGGCTCATCTTCTGTGAGTAATATTGATCATTTTTTATCTTCTGAGCAAACCACATAGAAAATATGAAAAATATGATTCAAATCTTTAACAAGAAATGAATGCGTAAAAAAAATTGCGATTAGAATCTACCATCCAATATCAGCATCGAGAAAAAGCAAGAGTATCATGCATGAACATTAAAAAAAAAAATCACCCTTCCCAATTCCCGGTGGAATAAAAAATCTTGAAGAGACTTGGAAAATACAACTTCTGACAATATCCCATATCACATGCTCCCTATTGCTCATGCCATTTTCAGACCTTGCCTGCATAAATCATTTCTATAATTTTTCTACCACATTGAACTTCTGCTTGAGAGTGTAATAAAAAATGGATCCATGCTCCACTATGGAATTTTATTGCTCCCTTCAATATTCTCAGTTTTTTTTTTTTGCCTTTTAGTCGGCTGCGTATATTTCTCGTAAATTTAGCTATATCAATGACAAGGCATTAAGCAAGGACTATAGGCTGTCATATCAGATGGCTGAACGTGAACTCGCACAAACAATTGCTTATGCTGCGATTACTGAATTTTAATTAACCAAATATCTAAATCTCTTTGGATTAAATCTTAATTTGATTCCTGAATAGCGGGGAAAAAAGAGGAGTTGAAATGATTCATGGGCACTCTAAACTGCACTATTTCATACATGTGTAATGTAATGCTCCACTTTAAAATCCGTTCTGAATTCATTCTACAAAACTCACTGCATGGGACTGTGTTTCATACGTATGTTTTCTTTGCATTTATAAATGTTCTGCATGTAATGAAGCTGATGTTACATAAAATCCTTTTTCCCTGAGACCTGATCAGAAACAGAATTCTAGTTTCACCCTACATAGTGTTTTTATTAGTATCATCACAGCCTGGGACTTTACAGGAACAAAAGTATTCCAGTCATGATCTCTTACGTAGTTAGAGGGAATAAAAAATCAGTACCTTATCATAATGTTTCATAAATCAAAGGTTTCATTCTCTTATTTTGAAAAAAAAAATCCAAAAACTATATTTGAACTAATGAAATGGATCATCTTGATATTGGACTTTGATTTCTGGAAATTAGCAACTGACGCTTGTCCAATAATTCTTATTGAGTAAATGACAAGATGAAAAATGATTGTTCTGAAATACTGCATTCAAAATATTTGTGGAACATTTGGTTCCCAGGCAAAAAAATCTAATAGATTTTAATAAAATAATTATTTACAAGTGTCAGATTCAATGCCAGAAATATCACCCTCCTTGTGTAAAGAAACGGCATTGATTTTAAAATTAGACTGCAAACAGACATATCTGTCAAACCAATCTAATATTGCTCTTTATGCATTTAATTAAATATGATTGGTCAATATTTAAACCCGTGAAATGATGGTGGTAGAAAGCTCATCAGTAATTACCACTTGAATTTTTTTTTCATACCTAGGGATTAACGATCTAAAATTGTTTAAACTGTGGAACAGTAGTCCCAAAATTTGTAATCAATAATGCACTGTGCACTTCCATGCTCAATCTGTCATTTTGCACTCAAGCAAAAGGGAAAATGACATTGACCTCTCAGGTTCAAACATTACGCTGCACTACGCAACATGGAGATATTGTGTTGAGACAACATTGTAATATTTTCATTTTCTATTTTATAACATGGCTGTTTAAAGTGCAGCAATAGTCTTTATTACCATCTAGTCATTATCACAGTCATCTAAAAGTCATGCAAAATTTTGTGACCATTTTGTACTTTACTTATAGTGCTAGTGTGTTTCTAGTGTACTATTTTTGGTAAAAAGGAGTTCTTCAGGGGTCACTGATCATTATTCACTGTTCCCAGTACTATGTCTTTTGTAAAACACTGTATCTATAAATATTGAACATGAGACTTCTGTAAACTTAACAAAGCAAACAAATCAATCTTAGCTATCCCACTGAAAAGTGATATATCTAAAGGTTTTTTTTTCTTCTGTCTGAACAGTTCCCATTACACTTTGAGAGCCCGCGGGATCATTTCTTTTTTTTCTTTTGTGAAGTATCTTGAAAAGGCAAAACAAGAGGTTAAAACTTTGTATCAAGAATTCTGTTTGATTGCTAAGATCTTGAAGGTGTGTCAACTTTTCTGAATCAGCTGTTGGGACATTTGTTTACATAAAATTAATTCATGTTTTGATGAGAAAAAGGAAAATGTTATCCAAAGGGAGATAACATTTACTCCTTGTCTCCCTTTTTTGAAGATGTCAATAAATCAAGTAACAATATGTACTGTAAAAACTTTTTTCTAAACAAGGTCAAAGCTGGGTGCTAACACCTCAAAGTTTAACAAATTCAATTTTTCTAAGGGCACTTAAACATCTATTGGAAGTTTAATTTTTAATGGTACTTTAAATTTTCTGTAATCCACCTTGAGTGTAGATGAGAGTAGCCATCTGTAGACCAATATTTAGAAAGTTACACACAGCAAGTCAACATTTCTATAACCCGATTAGGTGTAACTAATTTAATTTCAGTCTCAAATATCAAAGGTTTCGACTTGAGATCAAATGATCCACCAAATCACAATGCACTGTAGACTTCAAAGTGAAACACTTTCTTTTGTTGAAATAAATTGAAAGTAACATGACACTCTTGAGCCAATGAAAACAGAGAGAGAAATTGAGTTTAATGCTTGAAATATTAGCCGTTGCCATGTTTGTAGAAAATGTAACCATTTTAAAGAATGAAAAGAAATTGTCAATATCAAACTGACAACTGAATGTTTAACTACTAATTAATATTTGGAGGAGAGAAAAACATCTTATGACTC